CATGCTGAGTTTGTGGACAATTGATGACTTCTAGTGCACCTGGCTAATGTGTTGTTTATCTATTCTGCAGAGAAATTATTCAGTAAACCTTCAAAAAACTGTTGAATTATATCCATTGCTACTGGATGTAATCTCTCTCAGTGGCCAGTAAATAAAAGTCTTCATAAAAGGGCTATGGAAAGTTTTTCTCCAGGCACAATTAGTATGTAGATATAAAAAATGGATGTTCCCACTGCTCCAGAGGTGATTTGATTTACATGCTGGGGGAAATGCCCTCATTCCTAAATATAGATGTCCTAAGACCAATTTCTTCTGCTGCTTCACATGGGAAAGTTGAATCAGAAATTTTACCTTTTTACAGCCCAATGATACCCATAATAAAATCTTAATATATTATGTCTTAAAGGAAGATTTACTTTCTGGCTCCCCAAATTAAAAATTCCTCCTAGGAATATGCTACTTCCTGTTATGATTACACATATACACAATGGGCTTGGGCAGTAGGGTATGCTTTGCTACCAGAAAATGACATCTACCTATCTATCATCTATCTATCTATCTATCTATCTATCTATCTATCTATCTATCTATCTAAACAAGACATGCCAGATAAAAATAAAGTCCCTAGACACCCTCAACCAGGCTACTAGCCTACAGGCCTCTTGCAGACAGAACTCCAAGACCTCTAGAGTGGCAAGTGGCAAAAAGGGAATGTGGCCTTTCTTGTCCCCCTGGCTGCTGCCACTCCTGGTACAACTTTTATTTCTATTTCTGGTTCTCCTTTTTTGAACTCTCTCTTCTTAACCTCCTTGTACATTTGTGTCTTCCTGCCTAGAGGTTGTAAACCTGCAGATGACTGAAAATTTATAGCTCCCAATCAGTGCCAAAAAAAGAACACTGTTGAGGACTTCTGGGCTGACTTAGCTCCTGCCCCATAATGTCCTCTACTATGAGGAAGTAGCCAGAGTGCCCTTGGTCCCTGATGCTCTGAAGATCTGGGAGGTACTACCTCTTGATCGGGGATTGTAGGTCAGTAGATATCAGTGGTGGATGCTGATCTAAAACTGTTGAGTCAGCACAAGTTGTTTTTCTGCAGTCGGTATTGGATAGTTGAACTGTTCCAGGTGTTCTTTCTAATAATAGGAAGTTGGCCAAGGGGTGAAAGGGCCTCAAACAACTGAATGAGCACCCAAACTGGAGACATGACTATCAGCTAATCATAAAGGAGAACTAGGGGTTCTCCTCTATGGCTAACCAATGGGGCAGCCACTCTGACTGACTGAGACGTCCTCGGGTTGATCTGCCCCTCATTTTCATATGCTTAAGCCTCCATTGATACACACTGAATCTCATGCAACCCATTAATTACCAACAAATGATGAGAAAACACATTCACAATAGAAATAAAAATATATGGCAAAGGTGAACCATAAATAGGGAAGAGTAGTATGTGGAATATCTTTTTTTTTTTTTTTTTTTTTTGTACTGGGGATCGAATTCAGGAGCTTGTGCTTGTGATTTTGAGACAGGCAATGATACCATTGAGCTAAATCCCCAGCTCTAGAATACCTTAAAACACAAAGCATGGGATCAATATGTGAAAATGAAAAATAACGGAAACAAAGTCTTTGTAGGTTGAGAGGGAGGGAGGGGTTGAAGCAAGGGAAATGAGGAAAAATAAGAACCAAGATTGATTATGTAAGGTACAAATTTCCAACAATGAATGCAATTGCATTGTATACATTAAAGTAACCAATAAAATTAATAAAATGTGAGAATAAAACACAAAGCATGATAAAAATAAAATGATCCGGAGCAAAGGAACTCTTTGTCACTCACACTCTTGTGATGACATGCTTTGAATATCAGCTATATCCTACTTTGAAATAAACCCTTTTACTTCGAGGCCACTTTCTTGCCTGTATCAATAAATGTTTACTAGAGAAACAGATTTAATACAAGTTATACACATATATAAGAATTTACAAGATTGCTTTAAACTCACTCACCGAGTCAAAAGTGGACAAGTGCAAAAGGGCTGTCTGCAGCTGAATATCTGAAGGATCCAGTGAAAGGCGTGGACCCCACTGGGGTCCTTGTGAGTCTGAATCAGGAGGCTGAATGGTCTAAACTGAAAGACTGAAGAGTCTGTTTGGGAAGCCAGGCAAGGAAGTCCAAGGTGACGGAAGAGTGGAGCTACTCTGAAGAAAAAAAGCAAGGCTTCCTTCTTCATTTCCCTTTTATAGAATTCCAGTACAATCCTCCCTCAGGTGGTCCTCTATACTTAGAAATACAATGAACCAGTGCAGTTGGACATTTCTTACTCAGGTTGACACAATCAGCAAACTATCATATTGCCTGTGCACTGTGTGTCACCACATGTGAGGCTGTGTGGATTCTTCTCCTTGGGTCACCAAGAACCAGGAAAGGCCAGGTGACAGACTTGACCTCAAATCCTGTCTCCATTTGGTAAATGTTTTAATTTCCACATCTCATCAAATGGATAGGGAAATGTAGGTCAAATGAACACAAATGCCTAGGTCTAAGACATAGTTTTGTCCATCTTATAAATAACACTTGGGCTGGGGATTTAGCCCAGTGCTGCTGAGCCTGTATTGTAAGCACAAGGTTCTGAGTTAGATCCCTGGCACCATGAAAAATAAATAAACAAATAAGCAAATAACACCAGTAATATTATTTGCTCAAATTTACACAGTATTTTATTTTTCTTCCCTGTGTTTTAGTTAGTAATTGAATATGCTGTCTGTCAGAACAGTAAATAAAGTTTTAAAATCTCCTATTGCCAAACAGCTGCAACTTAGAGAACAAGCAGAACATAAACATATATGACTGTATTATTTACATAATTTACCCATAAGCTAGTATTATTAGAAATTTTTTCATATCATTAGAAATTTTTTACTTTAATCAAAGATCAAGTTTTTTTACTGATAAAAGGGAATGTTCTAAACATTTTGTTCCCTTATCAGGGAGTCTCAAGGGATTGTGCTGCATTCTTCAAGAAAATAGGTAGTATTAATTTAAATAGGTTATACAAGAATTGATTTTTCTCTCCTTCTGAAAAGGACAGGCTAGAGTGAACTGACATAAGTGAAAGCAACAAACAGGCCCCTGCTAGATTCTATGAATATCTCCAGAGGTGTGAAGTGACAGAATGTCATACATAGTCTACTGCTGCCTTAAAAGCTGCATAGATAGTGTATACTTTGTAAATCAGAAATTCCTATGAGGCTACAGTAAGAAAGTTGTGTAAAATATGAAGATCACTTTCATAAGTTCTACATAAAAGGAATTTTTCAAAATCACTGCATGGTTATTTTTCCTTGAAAAATTCAGAAATCATTAAAGAATTCTCACCATTAAAGCCATGCAAATAAAGCTTAGCAAATGTCATAGCAACAAAATTGAAGGACCAGTTGGGTGTGGTGGCACATGCCTGTAATCCCAGCAATTGGGAAGCTGAGGCAGGAGGATCACTGCAAGTTAAAGACCAGCCTGGGCTACACAGTGAGTTCCAGGTCAGTCTCAACTACATAATGAGACCATGCCTCAAAAAAACAAAAAACAAAATTGAAGGACCCTTCATCAGAAGTAATGATAAGCTTAATATTTTCTAATGAAAAAATGATGACAGAGTAATCCTTTTTTAGATTGTGAACTAAGAAAACAGAAAAAACATGTATATAGAGTCCACTAAAAGAGTGCATACTCACTTCAGTAGTTCACTGTACTAACAAATGTGTGGAAGCTTGTGGCCACCACTTTAGCACCTTTTGATGTATACATTTTTGGTGCATTCTCTCTGTATCTGTCTGTCTCTGTCACACACTCTCTCTCTGTCTCTGTGAAATATATATAACATATATAATATTATATACTATATGTTATATATATATATATTTATAATTTCTTTAATAATTAACATTTGTTGATGTGGGATTCAGTAAGATTCAGGGGATAAAACTATAGATGCTACCCAGCAGTAGAGAAAGCTGAAGCAAATTAGTTCAGGCAAACTCTTTTTTAGGTACAGAGAGAAAATTTACAGGAGTTTGTCAGGGCCAAGTATCTCTAGTTAGGAAAAAAATGTTTCGATTATTTGACATAAAATAATACATCAGATATTGTAAATCTTATTAGTTTAGTAAATCAAAATAAATTGTTTTATAAGCCTTAAGAAGCCAAGAATACTGAATTAATATTTAACCACTGATGACTTAAATGTTTTAATAAACATTTATAAGTATTAATTTTATTTATATTGCTTATTTACTCTTCTTAATAATTGTTTTAGGTGTTGACCTTGTATCCTGCTACTCTGCTAAAAGTGTCAATTAAGTCAAGAAGTCTTTTGGTGGAGTTCTTCGGGTCTTCAACATAGAGTATCATATCATCCGCAAATAATGACAGTTTAACTTCTCCCTTTCCTATCTTTATTGCTTTAATTTCTTTCTCTTGTCTAATTGCTATGGTTAATGTTTCCAGAACTATATCAAAGAGGTTTCTTTTGTTGTTGTTGTTGTTGTTTACTTTTGCTTTACTCCTCCCAAGTTGAATTCACATATATAAAACTGATGTCCTTTTCATTATCTCAAATCTTCAACAGCCAAGTAATTATAGTTGGTTATATACAAAGTATATATTTCATATTTACTTGCCATAGAAAGCAGAAGAGAAAATAATACTGTGATGCTTAAGAAAATGTTTTAAAAATCTAATTATGTTTGTCTCTCTTTTAAAGTATATATAGCTTTTAAGATGTAAATCTTTTGAAGGTTATTTTTGAAGGGATGTGAAGTCACTAGATTATTTCCGATTTAGTGAAGGGTAATTTGTTAGTAAACTCAAAAATCCAAGCCAGGACGGGATCATTTTCTTTCTTTTTTTTTTTTTCCTCATGTGCTCATGTCATTCTTAGGGAAGGCCTGATGCAGTAAGAAGATATGTTTTACAAACTTCTAAAACAGATTTGTGACTTGTCAACTAAAGACACCACCTCTGATATGGACAGTTTCATTCAATCCATCTTCTACAAACTTTATATCTTCTAGATCATCTTTTATAATGCTAATCAAGTGGCTAAGGCCTTCCTGTTGTTGTTTCAAATGCTGTTTGATTTCATGTAACAGATCTGCATCTATATAATATCTTTCTTCAGATCTGACTGCTCCAAAATGGTTCTGCATCCTGATTTGGGACATCAGTTCATTTAGTTGGCCCTTGAACTGAGTAGGTGCATTTAATTCAGACTGAATTGTATCCAGCTGAACTTGCAATTGGTCTTCATCAGCTTGAATCTCATAACCACTTTTCCTTTGAATTTCCTGTTTGATTAAGACCTGTAAGGTTCTATGGGAAAGACCCATGAGTTTCCTCTTGTACTGTGCAATTTTGACCATACTTCTAAGTTTGATTCTGTTGTAGCTCACTAATATCTTCAGATATGATATCTAATCTGGTCTGATGCTGCTTAGTCATCTGATCTTGAACTTTCAGTCTTCGGAGAAGTTCTTTAAAGCCCACCATAGGTACAGGAATTAACTTTTCAGAATGAAGGTTATACACCTTGGCTTGTTCCCAAATAATAGGATCAACACAAGCAAGAGGATTCTGTAAAAGCTGCTTGATCTGTGTAGGAGAAAGTTTTGTTCTAATCATAGAAAGGGTCACACCAAGTTGCTGTAGTTGTGTTTTTATATTGGCTTGTACAATAGCCTTCTTGTACACAAATAACAGATTCACTGAGCGAGAAATTAGATAAACAATTCCTTTCACAATGGCACCCCAAAAAAAGAAGTATGTGGGAATTAATCTAACAAAAGAAGCAAAAGACCCCTACAGTGAAAACTACAGCACACTGAAAAAAGAGATCAAAGAAGATATAAGAAAATGGAAAGATATTCCCTGCTCCTGGGTAGGAAGAATCAACATCGTGAAAATGGCCATACTACCAAAACTGCTATACAGATTCAATGCATTACCAATTGAAATTTCAACACTATACTTCACAGAACTAGAAAGAATCCAAAAATTTATTAGGAACCATAAGAGACCTAGAATAGCAAAAGCCATCCTAGGCAACAGACACATGACAGTGGGTATAACAATTCCCAATTTGAAACTATACTACAAAGCCATTGTGATAAAGCCAGCACGGTACTGGCAAAGAAATAGACCTGAGGATCAGTGCAACAGACTGGAAGACACAAAAACAACTCCATATGTACTCAGCTACCTCATCTTTGACAAAGGAGCTGACCATCCACACTGGAGGAAGGATGGCATCTTTAAAAAATGGTGTTGGAAAAACTGGATCTCAACCTGCTGAAGATTAAAACTAGACCCTTATATTTCACCATGCATAAATTAAAATCAAAATGGATTAAAGATCTAAATATTAAAACAGAAACACTGAACTTATTGCAAGATAAATTAGGCAGAATTCTTGAAGACATTGGTATAGGAAAAGACTTTATGAGCAAACACTCAGTAGCACAGGAACTAGCAGAAAGAATCAACAACTGGGATCTCATCTTATTAAAAAGCTGCTGCACTGCAAAAGAAACCATCAACAGAACTAAGAGACAACTACAATGTGGGAAAAAATTTTACCAGTTGCTCCTCAGAAAAAGGATTATTATCTGGAATATATAAAGAACTAAAAAAAAAAATCCAGCTCCCCCCAAATATAAAGACCCAATTCAAAAATGGGCATCTGAAATGAACAGACATTTCTCAGACAAACAAGTAAAAGCAGCAAGTAAGCATATGAAAAAATGTTCCACATCACTGGTCATTGGAGAGATGAAGATGAAAACAACACTGAGATTCCACCTCACCCCACAAAGAATGGCTGCTATGAAGAAATCACACAATAACAAATGTTGGTGGAGTTGTGGGGAGAACCGTTGTTGGTTGGAGTGCAGACTGGTGCAACCACTATGGAAATCAATATGGAGATACCTCAAAGAGCTGGGACTAGAGGATCCATTTGATCCCTCTGCTGGGTATCTTTCCAAAAGAATTAAAAGAAACATACCACAGTGATATATGTGCACTAATGTTTATAGCGGCACAGTTCGTAATAGCTAAAATTTGGAAACAGCCCATTTGCACATCAGTTGGAGACTGGATAAAGAAGATGTGGTTTTTCTCTAAGATGAAATATTACTCAGCCATAAAAAATGAGAAATTAGAGTCCTTCATAGGAAAATGGATACATATTGAGGATATACTCCTAAGTGAAATAAATAAGTCACACATGTGTAAATACTGAATAGTTTCTCTGGTGTGAAAAACTATAATAGTACACAAGATCTAACTTAGCAGGATAATTAATAGTACGAAATTAGAAGAAAGGGGCTAAAGGTGTAGGAAAAGTGGGAAGGGTAGGGGAAAGGAAATAAGGGAAAAGGAAAAAGTAGGAGAATATGAAAAAAATGGAAATAAAGTGTTTGGAAATGGGGAGGGGAGGAGGGTGTTAAGGGAGGGCAGGGACAAGGGGAAAAAATGAGAATCAAGACCTGTCACGTGAAGATACAGGATCCCCGTAATGCATGTAACTGTATTTTATACCTAAAACATACTAATAAATTAAATTTAAAAAATAATTATTTCAGATAACTTATGAGAACCAAACATAACTTAGTTAGTATTTTTAGTTTTATAACCAATGAGAGTCAAAGGAGACAGAGGGAAGAGCTGTAAGTTGCTGGATGGGATCTTTGTTTATATTCCTTCTTTACTATAAGATAAAATTTGAGGCCTTGTCATTTTACTCTTTAATTTATACTTGTAGAAAAATGGACCTTTTAAAAAGTCTATCTTAGTTGCAAATTTATAAAATGTAATTTAAAGTTGATATTCTGGGGACAGATGCTGAGTTACCCACAATCATTTAAGGCATGCTATATTGTCTTTAAGATGTGCTTGTGTCCTTTGGAAAAGAGATGAAGAAAGAAAACTTTAAAAAGGAAGAAGAAAGTAGTATCGTCTGCAGGTCCCTGAGGTCAGGCCGCCTGAGCCGCCTGCCTCATCTGAGGTAGTGCAGGGAACCCCAAGTCAAGGTCACTCTGCTGGGTACCCCCAAAGCAAGGTCAGGCTGTGTGTGGAGCTAGCATAATGCTGGGTTATGGCGCCTAAGCAGCCCTTCCAAGTGGAGGTCAGGCCAGATGGTACAGTCTTATCGATCCTGGGCTCATGCTGCATGCATGGCCTGCCCTCTCCTCCAGAGACAGTATGGCCTGGGATGCAGCTCTTGTTACCCCAGAGTGGGAACTGCCCATGGGGAAAGAACTGCTCTGTTTTTTGTCAGTGAGTAGTTCAGTATCTCAGATAGTCTTGCAAACATCTGTTGCTCAGGTCCAGATCAAGTGCCTTTGTTCCTGGTACATAGTCACACAAACTTTCTTCATCAGATCAGGCAAGAAAGATTAGGAGTTGTAGAAAATAGCTGGACTTGGCACAAAATTTAACCAAAAGAGCTTTATATCAAGGGAACTGTAACACACACAGGGAACTCATGCATGGTTTGAGAAGTCAGGAGATCGATACCACATAGCAACTATAGATCACATAACATTTTGGATAGGAAGATAAGCTTCCGACCAAAATTATCATTGTCAAATAAGATGGAGGGGGGAAGCAAGTCAGCATTATGGAAACAACTTCAAGAGGCTCTAGAAAAAAATACACATACATATATATATAAGCTTGACAGGTGGACTTGGAACCCAGGAAGTTAATGGTAGATGGTTGAGAAGGGTTGAAAGGGCACCCTTTCAGTGGGCTTGTAGGTCTCTCCTATCAGCTGGGAAAAATAAAGAGTTCATATCTTTCCTTCCCTCTTTCATACAAGGAATACATTAGGAACTGTCCCCAGAGCAACAAGAAAAGTTCCTGAGTTCCCCAGCTCCCACTGATCCCCCCACCTACCAGCTCCCCTAACTCTCCCTTATGACAAATATCAGAACAAGCTAATGGATTTGAGTTTTCTAACAGATTAACATCTCCCTGGGATAGAAAGGATAAGAAAAGGACTGGGATTTTCTTAGAGGTTCTAGAGAAGCGGGGAAAAGCTAAGTAAATCTGTAGGCTCCGCCTCATTTTGAGTCCATGGAGTTCACCAGATTCTGAGGATAACATCAGTTAGCACCGGAATGACCCCTGGACCTGCATGGTTTTGGACATGTTCAGAAAAAGGGGGTGGTACTGCACAAGATAAAGGAGAAAGAGAGTGAGAGAGAGAGAGAGAGAGAGAGAGAGAGAGAGAGAGAGAGAGAGAGAGA